GCTAGTAATCCACCATAGGAAGATTTGGAGTCCTTTTCCACATTTTCTGAGTTCCTCCTAATTAATATCAAGATATCTTTAATGGCTCGTCTACGTAACTATAATCAAATTTTGGAGAGGTTGAATTGAGGAGGAGTTGAATGGGGTAGGATTAAAATCAGATTTCTGTCGAAACTATCTATTAAAAATTTCAAGAGTCAGAATAGGAATAATATTGAATTATATAGTTATTTACTAATTCACATGAATCACAATAAAATCACAATGAAAATCAATGTGATTGCTAAAATGTCCATATTATAATACTTTATTGGGTGATTTTGTATAAAATCAATTAAAAGTTATGATATTAACAATAGGTCAATCAAATTTATTGGAATTGTATATAGGTTAACGAGACTTTAAGATACATTAAAACACCTCAATCAAATTCAAATTACAAAGGATACCATTACTATATAAAACACCATACCTTTCCATCTCTTTCTTTGTAAATTGTGCCTCCCACCACCTTCAACCTTCCCCGCCTCCCACCACCTTCAACCTCCATTTTTTGGACGCTGCAACGCAATGTTTGTTTCCTGTTCTGTGATTGTGCATTCAGATTCAAATAGGTTTGTGGATTCAGACACTTCGTTGCAGTATCTGTAGCCTGTTCTGTGATTGTGCATTGACATTCAAATACGTTTGTGGATTCAGACACTGCAACACATTGTCTGTTTCTTGTTCTGTGAATTCAGACACTTCATTGCAGTGTTTATTTCCTGTTATGTGATTGTGCATTGAGATTCAAATAGGTGTTTGGATTCAGACACTGCAACGCAATGTCTGTTTCTTGTTATGTGAATTCATATCGAAAACCAGTGAAGAAGAAAACTGGAATGCAAAGGAGGTGCCCAGAAAACTTCAAATAGTCATAACGGGTTCATTTCTCAACCAAATTCAAATATTCAAAAGCCAAAATAAAGCTCAAGAGGTAAGGAATAGAAATATACCTAATTGAGGCTGAGTCATGACCCAAGTTGGCCGAAAAATACCTGCAACCTTGCCGGTCCTTCATCGGAAACAGGGGAAAATTTCTCTGAGTTGACTTTCGTTTAACCTTCACCAAATCAAACGGATTTTCGCATTCAAACTTTGGTATAAGATCATAACCATAAAAAGGAAGAAGTTCATGAGTTCCCAACCCTTACCTAGTCAGAAAATCACGAAGCCTTGCCAGAAAATATGGAGCTAGAAGTTTGAGTTCGAGTTCGTAACCTGGGGTCTCGGTTTTAGTATTGGGATATTGGTGGACTTTGTTGAGGTCGAGGAGGCCATGTTGCATTCATAGAGAGAAAGAGAGAAGGATAAAAGAGTCAAATTTTAACTACATATAATGACTTAAAGCACATCTGGCACTCATCATTGACTTATGTCTAATTAATAAAAATATGTCATTGATTAAGTTCAAAACAAAAACATGCCATTGATATATGACTAAATAGTATTTTTTTACTAAATTACCTTAATTTATTTTATATACTAATTCTGTTTTATTTATTAATTTTTTTTTGGTAAAACTATATTTTATTTTATTTTATTTTAACTTTGTGAAGGGCAAAATGTGGTGTCAGGTTAATGTGAAGGGTAATTCTCGAATTTTAGAAACAAATGGTATAATGGGAAGGAAAATTTCATTATGATTCTCCTAATAACCTAAAATTCAATTCTCATCAAATTGCAGAGCATCCAATTCCTCCAAATTTTGAAGTTAGATTCCAAAATTTGTGTGGGTTCCCACCAAATTTTAAATTCCTCAATAATTTAAAAATACCAAAATATTCTGTAATCGAAATTCAATTCCGTATTTTTAATCTGATTTCTCTTGCTTAAATGTGCCATGAAATGAAATCACAAGTTTCGATTAACTAGCGAAGCAAAGCAAAGCATGATAATCCAATCCACACATATATGTCCCTACCATGATACCAATGTTTCAATTAGATTTCAAATCCAATGATTGAAGGGCTTTTTCCCTCCCTAGTCTAATTAGTGTCCCTACCTTATTATATATAATCCTCATTGAACCAATTAAACGTCTTCACCAAGTAATTATAGTATACACTCTAATCATATAATAATATCGGTCATTAAGTTATCACCCTAATTATTTCTGACACCGAAAGATAATTTTTCTACAAAAACCATAATGGCTTTAATTACTTTGTCAATTATTACGATCCCCATTTGCTTTTCAAATGATGCAATGATCAATTGAGATTGGTCCGTTACAAGGTTTCAATTAAAATAAATAAAAAAAATTTTAACGAAAAGTCCACGGAATTGTTCACTTTAACGAAAAATCATATTTTTACACTAAAAAGTAATACTGGTACTATTCACTTTACCTTTTATTTTGTCTTTATCATTAAAACTCAAAGTTTTCAAGCCAATTTCATTAGTTTTCCTATAAATAAATTCTACAAATCCCTGGTTTGGACTTTTTATTTCTATATTTCTTTTTTCTTATTTTGCAATTTTGTGTGCCGATCTAAAATGTCTATTTTTTAAGGTCATCTTTGAAGATTATTTAATTTAAAATAATTTAATCATCTACTTATTATCCTATATATATAGACCACGTTTTTAGTTACACACTACAATTATAACAACGTTAATCTAACATCTAACGATTTATAATTTGGAAGATTTTCCACAAAATTAGTCCTTAGTTGATCACATCATGCATGTAGACTAATAATATTCTCTATTATTATTGAATCTATATCATTATTCAAGACAATCATGATCATTATCTTAGCTTATAATTATCATTCATTATTGAAGACTTATTCTTCCATTATTAGCTTATGTTTTGTTTTCTTTCAGTCCACTACCAATACATATGTACATCGACTTATTTGGTACGCATAACGGTTTTTTTGGGTTTTTTTTTTTTTTGCTCAGTTCGGTTCCACAGTTTTCCGGTTTTCACTCACCATTACTAGCTATATGGGCCTAACAATTTGTTAAATGCTTGTGTTTATCATTTTGTAAAATAGATATTCCAGTTCATGGAGTCTCCAGTGTATGTGTCTTATCCAATATCCACCCTTTCGGCACCGAAACTTTTAACAAAGATGGGTCCTTGCAACTTGCAACTTTGTCTTTGTCCCCACTGCTGCTGCTGCTCTACTCTACTAAATTTTGATCGATATATGGAGGTTCATTATTTCAGCCTTCATTTATTTGCTCCTCTTTTCCTGCTCGTTTTATTTATTTGAAAACCATTCATGCTGGTTCACTAATTAACCAAGACTTAGTTTCTTTGTTAATGAATGAAACCAACATCTCCAATCATGCTCATTATTTTTAAGTCGAAATATAACTGTAATTTTCTTGAATCATGAAATGTAGGTGTTTGCATCTGATTTTACATCGGTCAATACAAACGAAGTTGTTGAATGAGTAGAGTTTTAGACCATTAGAATAAATGGAAAGCAAATTATATCCATAATCTGGAAGCAAAACAACGCATGTATGGATCCAATTGAAAGTCGTGGACAACAAGGAGTTCAAATAGCATGTGCAGAGATGGGATAATTATCACCACCGGATATCCCTGGCAGGATGCCAAATATTTTAATTAAATGGGATAAATGATGCAATTGCATGCTATGATTCAAGAAAATTACAAGTGTTTGTATGAAATTTGAACTTCGTAGTGAATAACAGTCTTGTCTTCAGGTTTTAAAATTTAGAGGCTGAGATGAGTTCCTTTCTTGACTGCAATTACTCAATAACAGAAATATTCGACATCACCACCACCACCACATTCATTTACTCACCGATTGAGCTTGGTCGACGAGTTGGCACGTCTTGCATTCAACCGAATAACGTAGTTAGCTCATTAGCTATTTGACCCGCGCATCGTGTAATCTAAATAGCTTTTAGAGTAACAGTAGGATATCATAGTTTGAAGAAACAGCACATTTAGTGCTGGGCAAAGAAATATTTGATTTATTTTTCTCAACGTTCAAGGAGAAAGTGAAAACTTTAAAGCTTGGTTGGTTTGGTATTCTGATGGGTCATGCGTCACATGGAGTTGTGTCGTCTCCATTACAACATAGTTCAAAGTCCTCACGTGAACAGTGGTCAACCCCTTCAACTTTCTTTCTTTTTCTCTCTTTTATTTTTATTTTTTATTTTTTATTTTTTTAAACATATGTTTAATATATATTTTTTAATTTTTTTATCACTAATAATTTGATTCTTAAATGAGGGAATTTGTAAGTATGAAGGTATATAAGTTCAATTAGTCAGAAATAAACTACAAAAATGATTATCAAATGATTTATTTCTAATTAACAATTTAAAATTCCTCGAAATGTATTGCATTCGTGTCACTTCAAATCTCTCTATCTAACGTATTTGTAGTCATTTCTAACTAAGTTAGCCTTAAAATTCACAGCCGTCTCGTCAATAGTCCTATGAGAGGACATACCAAGGGCTAGTTTGGGATTGCTGTGCTGTGAGAAAAAAAAAGCGCTATTTACAGAAGTAGGGGTAGAGCTGCTTCAGCTTTTTGCTGTTTTGGACTCATGATTTTGACAAAAACACTTTTTTTCATCTACCAAACACAATTTTAGCCCTTACTTTTTAAAAAGTTGCTTTTAAAATAATTTCAGCAATGTCAAACCAAGCCTAAGTAGTTCAAAGCACAAAATGCATTGCATCCAATAGAACTTACCACTCAGTTCATGGAAGAGCAGCAGAACTGGACCAAAAGCAAGTTTGTACAAGTCGATTTATGTACGAGTATACGTTAATAAGTTCATATCTACAACCTGCATACTGTATGCACAGATAAGGTGAAGAAGTGGTAGGTCATAAATCCGAATTCTGTGGTCCATTTGGGACGTCCAATGCGATTAGAGGGATGGATCAAATGGTGGAAGACGGTTTCGAAGTGGTTTTTGTGTCTACTAAAACTTCATCAAGTACCATATCCTGCAGAATTCAGATATAGTAATGCTCTTTTTTCGTTCTCTCAAGTTCGAATTGGCAGTAAAACAATGAGTTCTAATACAATGCCTTAAGCAAAAATATCCTCGGTGACAAATGATTTTTCACTATCAATACAGTTTTCATTTGGAAAATCAAGCTGCTCGTAATTTAGCTGTCTGGCAGCTTCATACAGAGCAATGCCAACACTTACAGAGAGATTCAGACATCTTACATAAGTTTCAACCATTGGAATCCTAATTGTCCCACCGCCAATCGTTTCACTTTTGCAGTCTTCGAGTGCTTCAGGTGGTAGGCCGGATGTTTCGGAGCCAAATATGAGAAAATCACCCCTTCTATAAGAAAAGTCCTGAAAATTGAACTAGTTAGTCAACTTAGAATACTTACTTCATTGGCCAGGCAACAATGCATGTCAACAAAACGCAGGTGTTAATAAAAATTTCAGCTTCCCGACAAGGAGCGACAGTGCAAATAGCACTCTCCAGTACTCTTCTGTGCTCTAGAGTGGAAGTGCAAATACACCTCCGCACTAAAGTAGACGTGTACTTGGAGGAGCACGTTTAGCGCTCCCTTAAGAGAAAGTAAAAAAGCAAAAGAGGCAACAAAGGCTTCATGAAATACATAAATTCCTAGCACAATGGAGGATTATCTGGAGAATGCGAGTAAATTGTTTACACTTGTTTAATATGAGAGAAGCATAATATAGCAGTTGATTTGACAGCACGCTATTGCCAAAAATTAGCAGCCTATCAGTTCGTATGATTTCATGATAGTTAATGGGATTTCTATACATCGCCATGAATGACTACCAAGTATCTTGAAACTCTGTATGTATTTCTACGTGAGTGACCAAGTATCATCATTGACCAGCCAACTGCTCTCAAGTATGGTGAATCTTAAATTAACAATGTCACTCTTCTTCCCAAATTTAATGCAATAACGAACAAATATAATTAAGTATAAGGGAAAAACATGCAAATTGGGTCTATGAAATGCTATGACTGTGAGAATTTATAGCATATTAGATCCACGGGCTGTTACAAATTAAAGAAACATTTGCATTGTTCAAGTCAGGTTTTGTTCGAAAATTGATGTTTACCAAGGAACCAAAATGAAGAATGATTAAACTCTCCCTCTTAAAGGGAAACTTAGGAGAAAAGAAAAGTCAATACACGTGACTACTACACATGACAGGTACAAAACAAACTATGAAAATACAAGGAGCAGATAAAGGTTATCACTGCAGGTATGATTGTTAGGAAAATTTAGCAGGATAAAATCCTGACGCACAGTGAGACTGAAACGACAGAAACTTACTGAATGAAATTTTGTTCCTCTCTTTGTAAATGCAAGCAACCGCTTTTCCCCCTCCTGTAGATATAAAGGAATAGGGAGAGGAAGAAAATATTCAAATGGAAAGTATGGGAAAGACATTCAAAATCCATTCTTTGAAATTTGAAGCGGGACAAACCTGTTGCCTGAAATAGTCTTGAAATTCTGCCCATGAGCTGTGAACTTTAACCACCACATATCTAAAATTGGAAGTTAATTGTTGAAAACATGAAGAACTTTCATTTGAAGATAAAATAATAAAAAATAACACTGATTATAATACAAGAAAAACATAAACTGTGTAAAGCTGGTGGGGGAATTGGTATGTACTATTTACATAACTGAACGCTCACTTCAGCAGTGTCAAGAAACAAATACATGCATGTACAAGCAGCATATCATGGCTTTGAACTGTAGTTTGGAGGAAAATTAAAAACAGAGCTGGAATAAACAATCAAATGTTTAAGTACAAGAAATCACATGCAATTTTGCACTACTGATAAACCCCTTCATCTTGATGTTCAAAGTAGATGTCCCAATATAGCTACTTAACAAATTAAATCATGTCTGAAAGTCATTTTTCAGTAATTACTAAATTAACATACAGAAGAAAGAATATATTTAACATTGTTTTTGACAAGAAACAACATATTTAACATTTACTAGCGATTGTTAGGATACGGCCAATAGTCCAATCCAGCACGCTTTAATTTTGCGTCATCAATCTTGAATCCTAGTGGCTAACAAAGAACAAAAGCATGTTAAGTGTCCAGTAGAGGACAGATCCTTCCATCTCGCCTGTAAAGAATAATAGAAAAATTGACACGAAGAGATATAACCTACCCCAACAAGATGAAGCCCAACAGCTGATGCTGCACATGTTCTGGCAATGCAACCTGTATTTCCAGGAATCTGCCAAGGACAATAGAAATCTCAGAACCAGCCTCCAGAAATTGAGAAGTTCGTGACCTAAAACAAGCGATACACAAATTATACTTGAGTCACTGAATTCTTCAGCACCCAAAAGTTGGTGTATACTAAAATTAAAAGAATATAATATAAAAAGAAAAGGTAAAATGTGGTAGTGCCTTGCACAATTACTATTTCAGTATATACCATTGAATTCTTTTTCATGTATTTACTAAGAAAAACAAGGTTAATTTTTTAAGGACAGCAAAATTCTTCATCTAATCCTACCGATATTCATGGTTATGTAAATAACCGTTTCTGCTTAATGGGAACAAGTGATTGGAAATCCACAACAACAAACTCAGGAAGAGAGATGCCGGACAAATTTAAGAATTTTGAGCTTATAAAAACAATATCATCCAACAACAATGAGTTAATCCTCACATTTCCTTGACAAAGCACCACCCAAGATTGAATTAGTATCATGCATGCGACTTGCACACCGTGATGAATTGTAATACGGCTAATACCCAATCTATCAATGTCCGTTTGGTTTCATTTAGAAAACAACTTGTGCACAAATCACTTAAAACATCGATTCATCCCAATTAAATGAAAAATGCAAAAATCAAAGCAGAACAAAAATCGATACAATTATCGCACATTGAGTCATAGATAGACAGATATACATTAGATCTTATGAATTTTGACATAATTTAAGGGCAATAAGCTAAACAGAATGGCAAGTATCAATCAAACAAAAAATTTCCCGGTTCATAAGTAATTGTGAAAATTCAGTTAGCCACCAAAAAATTAAAAAGCTGGAAGTTTGTAGTACCTGAGGAGAGACTAAAACCACTTGAAGAATCTTCCTTTGTGAAACTTGTTCTTCCTTCACTGCCTCCCCTACCCCATCTGCCAGAAAGCACTCTCCTCTGCTCCCAATCCCATCAGCTGCAGCTGCACCACAACAAATACAGTTACTACCCATTACAACACAACACACACATACATATACAAACCTATATATATGGAGAGAGAGAGAGAGAGAGTACAGACACAGAGAGCAGAGGGGAGAGAAACGAGCGGAGGACAGAGAGAGGCGAGAGCTGCGGTGGAGATGGGCCGAGCAGAGGGAACGAAAGAGAGGAACTTTTGAGGAGCGCATGCGGAAAGGAGATAAAGGAGAGAGGGGGAGAAAGGTGTAAGGGTTTTCAAGCCGCTTGCTGTTGTTGTCGTCGTTGTGTCCATTGGATTGCCTGATTGTTGCTTATCAGCAGCTATGGCATTTCCCCCTTTCTTCGCTTTGCTCAACAGTGAGTCGACACACGCAGTTTTTAAAGACCAATACTTTACTTAAAAATGATGCGTATACTCAAAATTTTTTTCATTATTTATTTATAAAATTTTGGGTTTATTATAAAAAAAGTTTATATTATAAACTTATCTATAAAATTTGTTTATATAAAAAATTAAAAATAATTTTCACATAGCGATTTATAATATGAACGTTTCTTATCGTAAGTATAAAAATTTGTAATTCGAATATAAAAAGTTTTGAATAGAAATTCCTACTTATCCTTAAATAGCCAAACATTATTTGCTTTTAAAACATTATTAAAAATAAAAGCACAAACGTGGATATTGGATAACATGAACGTTACATGACTGATTACAATCCTTATAGTTACTATAATAATTATTTAATAATCACAATAATTCATGTAAACGTATATGTTTTGTATAATTATATTTAATAAAAAATGTAATGTAATCAAAATTTTAAATGACAAATTACTGATTTTAATAAATTAATATAACACAACGTTTAAAATTATAATTAATGTGGCAAACTGAAAAAGTGAATAAACTCATATAACATTTTTTTTTGGTGCTAATTACTTAAAAAAAGCAAAAAAGAAATAAATTCACCAAAATAAAAAAGAATTCATTGTTTTTTGTTGGAAAATAAAGAAGAGAGTTTAGGTACACAAATCGTCAATAAAACATATATATAACGAAACCGAGCCTACTTATTGCAAAGTCCAGGCGGTCTCGCTTTGTCGTGGTCCTCTAAACACACGAGAGAGAGGATCTCCGATTCCTATCCCTAATTCAGCAAAAGCATCTCCAATCGACCAATCGGAGGAAGATCAACGATCTGAGATTGAATCGATTTCGTTCTGGTTAGTTTCCAGTTGGTTGCTCAAATTTTAATGTTATTTCGTCTCTCGTTTTGGGATTCTTGTGTTTTGGCTTACGCCGGTTGATTCGTGGTGGTGTTTTGTGGTCGTATGATGTTTTCGGTTGAATTGGGTTCGGAAGTTTAAATTTTTTTTGTGTGGTAAAATGATTTTAATATTATCAATTTGATTTTGCGTTTTAGGGTTTGTATTTGATTAGATCAGTGTGTTTGGATTAGTATGTATACAAACCACATAAAAAGATTGAGACTTTGTGGATTATCGAGCTGAATTTGTTCTGACAATGTTATGATGATTAATTTGGATGCTTTGTTGAGATTAGTGATTCTTCTTTTAGATTTAAAATAATTGCTAAAGTGGACCGGCGAAACTAAAATGAACCTGGAAGTTTTGGATGATGCCGCTAAATAGGGTAATGGTATTTAGATTGTGGTTTTGAAGCCTGGGAATATGTTATAATGGTTTGTAAGAGGGAATATTTTTGGTGGCTTCTGGTCATGAAGATTGTTAGCTAAAAGCCAAAAATTCACTTGAAACAGCGTATTGTACCATCCATTCAATCGCTTAGATGGTTTTTAGATCAAGTATCATCGGTCTCAGTTTGTTTAACTTTTGTGATGTATGTTTTCTTAAGGTATTGAAAAAACATCACCTCAAAAGTCACAAGCTTTAAGTTTGAAGTAATCTAATAAAGGCAGTTTGAATTTGGTTTTGTATATTGTCATTGGAGTCCTAAGTGTTCGGTGTTTGTTTGGTGATAATGGCTAGGAGCTGGCCTCGTTTTCTAAATGCATACACTGGGCACTACCGGTATATCCAGTGTGGTTGTTTCACTTGGGATACCCATTGCACTGGTTTTGAACTTCCCACTCATAAAGCTGTGTGGATTTGCACATTTTGTGGTTGTTTCTGAAACCAAGCCCCATTCACAGCATTTTGCGAAAATGTGGGATTATCTTTTTGTGTTAACCTTTCAGTGATAGTTTGAAAGACATACATTAACTGTAAATTTTAAAAAAATTTGCAAAGATCAAATAAGAGAATCACTTTAATTGCTAAATGCATTGAAAGCTTACTTGTCAAACAGTGAATTCCTGTAAACAGCCTAAGCAAACTTGGCTCTTTTCCAATGGACAAAGGAGTGACTCCTAGCCTCTTTGTTAATGATGGTTCGTTCATGGAAAGGTTCAGACAACTTCAACAAGAGAAGGATAAAGATAAGGGTTCCACAGCAGATGAGTCTAGACCAAGTAAAGTTGTTTCAGGGACTTTGACTTCTACCACCACTGGTAAAACCAGTGCTGAACTGAGGGCTAATGATGCACGCAAGGTGGCCGCTGCTTCAGGTAGCAAACTTGCTTTCAGCTTGAAACAGAAATCAAAGATTGTTGCACCACCTGTTAAGTTAGGTGCAGATGAGGATGAAGATGAAGCAGATGCTGCAAATCTTGCAGCTGCTGCACCAACTAAACGGCAAAAGTTGGGTCAGCCGGATCCCGTAGAGGAATCATACAGACAAGTGGATGTTGGTAATTACTGCATATATGCATATCCTTTAACTTTCTTAATTGCAATTTAAGGTATTTCCATTTTCAGTTAATTTTTTAAGAACAAAATTTGGAGAATCAATTTTTTATTTTTTATTTTGCTGCAATACTATTTTATTGTCCAGTAATTTTATGCATGTATTTATTAACTATGTAATTTTTTTAATTTTTTTCATATTTTCTTTTGTACAGAATCTATGGCAAGAATTGATTTCTTCATCCACTCTTGATGTTTTAACTGTTGAATTCTTAACTTCACTTTTATCATTCAAACTATTTTTCTGCCTTTTCACCCCATTGTGAACAGTTGTCTTATTCCCCACTTCCTCTTTCCTCAATAGTTTTCTTCCTTATTTTGTTTTAAAAAAAGATCCTGCCCCTCATTCTCGTCTTTTGTTGAAGTTATATCACTTCGCCAATATGAAATTTTCTTTTGTTTTTTTTTTTCTCACCTGTAAGGTGAGTTGGAGTCTAGCCTTTTACTAGGTGTGATGGATTTCTAGCATCCACATAGAGCCTGTGGACTCTTTTTTCTCTATATGTAGCGTGTGGTGCCATTTACCACTCTATTTAGTCCACTAGTTGAGAATGGGAGGTGTTGGTACTTTCTGATTCTTATATAATAATCAATTAAAACTTGACTGAAAGTGAGAGAGATAGAAGTGGCCGGTAAAAACAATTTAAGTAAATTGAAATTGTGCCTCCGGTAAATACCCTGTTATTGAGAAAATCATCTCAATAATTGTGTTCTCTACTCTTGAGTGGTGTGGATGAAAAGGACAAAACATTCTTGAATATTTCTTGTCTCATTAATGCAGCTAATTCCTTAAGTTCCTATCAACATTGGTGGAAAGAGATGTTCAATGAAAGAATTGGAATATGTGGCACCCCTGCTACAAGAGTAATTTGCATTCCCTTGTTCATGCTCTCGGTATTAATCAGTTTTATAAGTGATATGCAGCCCCACCTTCCCCAACTGATTCAACAGTGAAGATAGTTGCTGACAAACTAGCAAGTTTTGTGGCTAAACATGGAAGGCAATTTGAGCATATTACACGTCAAAAAAATCTAGGAGATACCCCTTTCAAGTAAGTACCCTATGAAGTTTCCACCTGATTGTTTTGTCTGTTATGTACAATCTGTCTGTTGGCATTTATGAAATGCAATCAGAGACTGATGTGGGGTAAGGTTCACTAAAGATGTAGGTTTGGAGTATCATTTTTTTTTTCCTGGTTTGGCTCCTTCCATTTATGGTAGTTCATATGCTATATGCATTGGGGGTTTATTTTGTTTGCAGATTTTTATTTGACGAGAGCTGTTCTGATTACAAATATTATGAGTATCAGCTTGTTATTGAAGAGAGGGCCCTCCAACAGACCAGGGATTCACAAACATCTCGTAATGGTGGGTATTAGATTTCCAGTTCCCTTTTTTTGCCTTCTGTTTTAAAATAAAATTAAAAACAAATTTTTTTTTCCAAAACTATGCTTATTTGAACTGTATGCATGCATCAAGCTTGGTGGAGGCATCACAATGAGTGTAGTATCTGGATTTGTGGGTGTGTATCTGACTGCACCATCTGTCTATGCTATTAGTATTTGGGGGTGAAAGTGTGTGCACTTGTCGCAAAAAAAATTAGGATTTTACTTTCGGTTGATCAATCAAAATTCACCCAAATAATTGTGCTGACATTGGTAGGGGGGAAACTTTCTATGCGCAATGTTGACTGTTCCTGCCTCGATTGCCTGATAACCTTGTCTGATTAACTTTTCCACTAATGATAATGTTGTGTTGATTTTTGTTCATTGCCTTTCATACCCTAGTAATACAACATATGTTTTAATTTGGTCGCTTCTTGAAATCTTTTCTGCTTTGATGGAACACTACTTGGCTTTTAGAAATACAACACTGTCAGATCGGTTGGATTTAATATATTCGAGGTCCTTGTGTGCCTAGGACTCCTAGTATTCTCTCAATATTAAGATTCAATATCCTTTTTGTGATTCATAATATGAAACCTGGAATGTGATCTTTGAAGATGCATCACTTATTGGCACTTCTGCTGAAACATTAGTTCGTTTGAGACTCAGATTCTGTGGTGTTAATGTGTGTAGGAGGTACTAGCATATCAGCTTCCAAATCCACTAGTAGTTCCCAAAGGTCTACTGTGAAGCATCCAAATTATCAAACTCCCGCCTCTGCTTTATATGATGCCACTGAGGGAAGGACAGGTAAATGATAACATCTTTGATGCTTTCGAGTCTTTTTCCCCTTCAGTCTCGTATATGCCTATGCTTCAAGTTATGAATTTAATTGAAATTTTGTTATCTGGAGATGACAAATGAGATAAAATTGCTTTGTAATAGGGGTGCATAGTGTGCTTGTGGTTTACTTCCTAGAATCAAAATTTCTGCTGGATTTTCGTTTTTATGTAAGCTAAGCTTTTGTAGTGGCTATATTATATTATTAGACGGTTTCTGCACAAATTCCTATCTTGAAACATCTGTATGTCTCAGCTTGTCTATTTGTGCTGTGGTATTAGTTTAACTAAATGTTTTGGAGACATTTGATTGGCCTTACTGGTTGGTCGGAAACTTAC